CTGTTTCTCACCTTACCATTACATGAGATGCCTGGCTTGACTATCTGCCTTGTTTCCACTGCTGAGATGACCTGAGCCAGCTCCAGCTGATACAGCTTCCCCGTTTTACATTGCAAGGACCAAACTTTTCATGAATTAAACCATGACCACACTAAAGCCCAGGGCTACAGCCCTACTTGAAACTTGGATCAAGACACACTGCAAAGCAAAGCTACATTTACATTGTTAATGAGTTTCTCAATCTGAAAGCTTATAGAGCAGCAATCAAATACTGTATCGTTCATGGGCCAAGAACAACAATGATGAAGACATAACACTCCCTGAGCAATGCTGTGTTTTGCATTTGCTGTTGCTTTTAGTTTTAACTTAATTTCCTGTGATCATGAACACAATTTTCAAGGGTTTTGAGTGCAACACGCTGCTCATGAGTCACTGAGAAACAGTTTTCAGACTGTGATCACCGAGTTCCTCAGATCTGTGGACTACTTCTAACAGGACTGTGAAAAGCCTGTTTTCAACTGGGTTTACTTTGCTATTAAGCAGCTTTGAGGTATGCACCTCCACTCAAATATATGCCTGCAATTTGCAAGGGAAACAAACCAATAAAGGTACCAGGTAAGCCGCGGGTAAAAAAAAAAGAGCTGTGTATCACTACTTTAAGCATTCGCATAACTGCATTTTTGTTGAAGAACCTGCCCCTGGATTTATGTAGTTCTGAGTCATCTCTCTCAAGCTTTATGAACACTTCCCTCCCAGGCACCCCCAGAAGACACATTTCCCATAATTGCACTGGCACCTATTGGCAAAATCCGTCCCTCTCCGGCAGTGTGCTCAGTTACTATCATCCTCCCTGTCTCCTGTGATTCTAAGTGAAGCAGTTAAATGCCCTTTTTTTCTTCCATTTTAACGTCTAGTTTCTCCCACGTCCTTGGAAAGCCTTGTAAGGCGTCAGTAAAGTCCAGACAAGCTAATTTTCAATTTTCATATTTTATTTGAAAAATATATAAACAAATAAGTAACTAGAGCACAACAGCTGACAGGAAGAAAAGAACAGTCACCATGGTCAGAGGTCATTGGGTGTTTCTGTTAACCCAGTGGTCCCAGACAGGCAATAAATGCCTTCCATTCTTTCGCTTAGTTAAAAAAAAAAAAAAAAAAAAAAAGAAAAGAGAAATAAAGTAGAGCCATTAGTTAAAATTATCAATGACAGGTAATCAAGTGGCTGGCAGTCCACTCGTCCTGCATTTTTTACTTTAATCAAGATATGCCCGCTGCTGTGTTTTCACATGTGGTGGTTAGGTTTCCCTGAAGGTTAAAGACAATTTTATTCCAAGATGCTGCCTGATAAAGCTGCCTACGAATAAGCGTGCTGTTTTTACACCTGATTGATAACTAACTAACGGCCAAGCCTTGCACCAGTACAGGGAGGGAAAGGGCTCTGAATTAAGTCTGAGTTTACTGAAGCGTGTAATTGCCCGTACTAGAGATTAAAGCCCTTTACCCTTTGATTGTCGTCTTACCTATGAGACCCGTTTCAGTCGCGATTCAGAGGGGGGTTTTTTCCCCCCTCTCACAAAAAAAAAAAAAAAAACACAAACGTGCAAGCGGCCAGAGCTAACTCTTCGAATACAAGGCCTGGCATTCTGCTATTCTTCTCTTTTGATCACGCAATCCGTGGGGAGAACAAAGTACTCATGGCCCGCGAACCCCTTCCCGGCGGACGGACCCTCTCCACCGGCACACAGCTGTGCGGGCACGCACAGCTGCACGCACACTGGGAACGCACGGACCAAACCCCTGAGCCTATTTACGCGTATCTCACTCCGCCTGTCT